GAACCAATCAGTAAACCCGCTGCCATGGAAACGCAGTGACACTTGGCTCTTTTTAATGGAAAAAATGTCCAACATGTAAGAGAATGATGTGTACAAGTTAAACTGAATAAAACTAATTATCTACAGCCACTGTCTGTTTATTCTTTGATGTTTCCCTGAGAAAACCAATTTTGCAGCTTTTTTAAATCATGCTTTCTGGAGAACCGACACAACAGCAGATCAGTTTAGCCATTTAAACACCAGCCGAGTCTCACTGAGCTGGAGCTGTGGGTGTTAAGCTTCATGCTTGGGGTTAAAACCAGGCCGATGATTAGAGCTATAATTAAAATCACAGTGTATAGCTTTTAGAGGTTTTAGCTTAGTTAACCAAAAAAAGTCATGTTTTTAGTCTTTTTTGTGCTTTCTACATTGTTTCTGATGGTTTCCCCAAAACTTACACCAGCTCAGGGGGAGGTGTAAATATGTAGTAACTACTAAGCTCAATGTTAAAACTAGTTTGTGTGGTGCAACCTATTGTGACTTAGTAATGCATAAACCTGAACTTATTAAACACTTACGTTACAACTAGCCCACGTTTGAACTTGCGCACAGCTGCTGCAACCGGCCACTGATCACACTAATAAGCTCATTAACAGCCCGTTATTGTGCTAAAGTGGGTGTGTTAAAGCAGGCAAAGCAGTAAAATGTGCAGGATAGTGGGCCTCCAGAAGCAGAGTTGAGAAACACAGCTGTAAACAATAGTCAAGCAGTTCATTAGAAAATGAAAAAGCAGCAAAAGTTATCAAATTAGACAAAGATGAATGACAGATTTGAGATTTTACACTCAGACTCAGTCAGAGCAGCCTCACACCAAGTGAACTCTGTTTTTGAAAGTGGTCTTTTTTGACTTTTTACTCAGTATTATTATTTATTGAAAGTTTTACCCCATCGCCAAGGAATGAAATAAACTTACAGTGACGGCTGTGCTTCATATCCTTCATTTAAAAAACACAGGTCGGTGTAAGTGCTAGTTAGCCAGCTGGCTGGCATGGCTTAACGCACTGGTAAAGCCGTACAAAAATCCAAAGACTCTGCACAACATGTGCAACATCTAATGAGTCCTGCTACAGGCTGTTGATATTCATTTCGTAGACAGACAGTAGCCTATTGCAGCTGTGACAAGTCTAAATTTCCCGACTAAGCCTAATCAAACTGTCACGGAGAGCTCGAGGTGCCAGCTGGGGTTCAGTCAACAGCACACCTCTCTCATGTCACTCCATCTCTTTGGTGCTTCAGAGGTATAGGTGCAACGGGTGCAAATGAGGAAGAGCAGGATCGCGCTGCCGTTTCATGTTTGTTTGTATTGCAGTCACTTCCAGCGCCGGGCGGGCGTCTGAAAGCTTCGCCCGAGAGAGTGAGAAGCGGAGTTGAAAAGGAGAGACGAGGGGAAGTCGGAGTGCGTGCGTGCTCTGATGTGTTAGGGTGCGTTGAACCCAGATGAGTGCCGAGCAAGGCCTCACTGTCATGTTGACATCTGGAGCAACGTGGTTTTTTTCAGGCTCTCAAACCCAGCTTGCGACACTTCCTTCCTGCTTCTCCAGAAACGAGAGAGTAGAAGCAAGTGAGAGGAGTGTTGCTCCATCCTTACCTCACTCCAAGGCGAGAAAATAATCAGTCTCGCATTGCCGTTTTGGGAACGCTTGGAAAAAAAAGATTGGTGGAAGGTGCTGGAGTGACTGTTTAGCCCGGAGAGTGGAGATGACGGTTGTTCACAGTGAGATATTCCCTCCACCTTGACAGGAAAATGAAGTAGATAAATGTGCCAGCCAAGTCAGATGCTTCATATCAGTATTATTCATATTGGGAGGGTGAGGGAACATCGAGTACACTATACTGTGTAAGATACAGAAGTAGTTCCCAACTGTCAACGCCCTATTAGTCAATGCTGGCTACAATACAGGAGCTAGCAAGCTTGCTTTAACCTTGCCTGTTTGTTAGGTTCAAGGCCACAATTTCCAGCCTGTCTCTGATTTTAGGTTTCTCTAGACAGCTAGCTCACACAGTTTGTGGTTAACCAGTCAATATTAACTTTAGCAACTTAGTGGCACAGTTTTGAATGAAATATGCCAGGCAAATAATTACCTAGTTTCGCAATGGCAAGGTTGGCATCCCTCTTCATGCCTCTCCGGTTGTGTAAGCCATAACAGGTAGCATCAGAATTAGCATTTTTCATGTTCCTCTGCCAATTCCACTCAATTTTTCAGTGACTGGAAACATGCAGAAAATAGCCTCAACAGCTAAATATAATACTGGGTTTTTCCATATTTAGCGTGTTCACGCTTTAACTTTATTACAGCTTCAATTCTTTTATTTGCTTTCATTTCAACAAAGAAATCTGCATGCATATTTTTCCACACCTCCAAAGTTCAGTCTTAGAAGTTGGTTTTGCATTTTCTGCTTCTCACAATCCAAGTAAACACATTCAGTGCTGTTGAGGTCTGGACTCTGGGGTGGTCAGTCCATTGTTCTGAGAACACCAGCAGCTTCTTTGTTTGATGTGTTTGATGTATCTCCTTTTCTCAATAACGGCGTCTTGACAGCTACACATCTTTTCAGACTCATAGTGCTGAGTTGTCTTCTCACAGTGGAAGGATGGACAGAAACACCTGTGGATTTTTTCAGATGTTCTTCTGTCACAAAGATGAAAGCGTTAAGCACGGTTTATATGATGGGAACAGTTTTGGTGGTCTACCAGCTCTTGCATGGTTGTTAAGAGTCCCATTTTCCTTGTACTTTCATCATTTTTCTTCACTCCAGTTTTGGAAACTTCTGTTTTGTCCCTTTGTCCTTCCTTTCCTTTCCCCTTCCTTATGTGCTTGGATGATCCTCTGTCTAATTTCTTTAGAAATTAATCCTGAAAAATGAATAATCTATTAAACACTTAATGGCATTTTTGACTGAAAACTAAGTACACAGAATTGTGGTCTCTATCTTTTGCATAGTACTGTATAATCATAAGGCTGTAACTTCATGCTATGTGCTGTGCACATACAACGTGAGTGACAGGCTAACAGACACACCTCCTTTGCCATATCTTTTTTCCTGTTGCAAAGCCTGGAGCAGCTACAGAGACTGCATTTTTTTTTCTCTGGGTACATATTTTATTAACAACTAGACTAGGAATATGCAGAGGGACTGCACAGCCTTTCTCTCTGGTAGTGTATATAGGTATGAGGGCAGGCATAGCACAAAAAGTCCACTTGCATTAGTAAAGGGAAAGTAGTGTGTTAATATTTGAGAGAGAGGAGAAAATCAAGCTGCTTCAGGTCTGAAAAAATCCACAGGTGTTTCTGTCCATCCTTCCACTGTGAGAAGACGACTCAGCGCTGTGAGTCTGAAAGGATGTGTAACTGTAAAAGAACAATGCCACTCTTGGGAAAATTGATGTTTTAGATCAGAAATACAACATTCGCAAAGGCTTGCATACCCATAAACACGCACATATACAGAGCCACAGTACAGTCGCATTCAGTATTACTGTAGTTGCTCTTAAAGAAATATGAATTTTAAGATGTGTTCACTAAAACATACACACCTGCCATCTGAAATGAACAAGCAGAGTCACTGTAAATGCAGGCAAATGACAAATATGGACTACGACGGTGTGTCATTAGTGCCTCAGTAGTGCGTCTTGCTTGGAGCCAAAAAAGCAGCAAAGTTTTCACTGCCTGAAAACAAAGATAACAGAACAGAAAGACAAAGTATTCAACTCAAAAGACCACATCAAATACATTGACTGGCTGCTTATGTCATTTAACTGTCTACTGTGTGTAAACCTGTCCTGTTAGCTAAGCAGCAGTGGTTGGTAGCTAGCTAGCTAGTTCATTTTGCTTGCTAGTACCAGGCTACTATTGAGCTTGGTGTCTTTTCAGGTTGTCTAGCACAAGCTGGCTCTAGCTTGCTAGCTTTAGTTTGCTGGCCAGCAACTTGTGCAAGAAATATCATAGATACATTTCTACACATGTCTTGACTCTGGAGGTTTTAGGACTATTATAGGATGTGTGTTTAGCTTTGTTGGTTACAAACCCAATACTAACGCACATAGTATGGCTTTTTGACTAAGTTTAAAAAGCTAATTCTAACTCACGCCTCCCTCCAACCTGGCTGAAACTACAACCAACACGGCCAGGACTACAATTCCCAGAACTCCTTGCTGCATCACATAACTCAGCACTCTCTCCGATCAACCTCCGTCATCCCCGGACTTCTAAATACACACACCTGTCACTCCCTGTATTTAACCAGTCTGTTTGTAATCACCATGTGCATACCGAGCATTTCTCCTGTGTTCCTGACTGCTATCCTGTGTTTTATGTTTATGACTTTGATTCTAGCTTTGTCCTTTTACTCTGTTTTGGTTATCTGGTTTTCAACTTTCTGCTGTGATTTTGAATAAACCCTATGGTATTATAGTTCTTAACCCAAGCCTCTGCTGCGAGCGTGTGGTTCCGTCTGCCGTCGTTACGTTCTGTTAAAGGCAGGCAGATTTAGTAGTCTCCAGTTGACATGATGTCTTCTCTACCAGTCCATGAGGCAAAAGACACTATTGCTTTGCAGCAGACTGATGTTTATTCTGAGAATTCAAGAAGTCCTGTTTAATCCCAAGTAATCAAGAATTCACAGCTGTTCCACCCAACAAACAACCATTTGTCAGACTTCAATTTTGGCACAAACTTATTTTAACACTAGATATTTGACATTTGGCATTTTTTTTTTTTAACATTTGGCAGATTATTGCGTAATTGTATTTTTACAGTGCCTGTGTTCAGTTAACTCAACAATGAATGATGCAGTTTACAAGCATACAAAAACACACAGACAGTGAAAGAGCGTGCGACCTAGCCACAAGCTGGCTGACAAAAGCTGGTAGAGTGAAAAAAGCTGGTGGGCAGAACACAGAGAATATTGAAGCAAGTGACAGAGAGAGAGAGAGAGAGAGAGAGAGAGAGAGAGAGAGAGAACACAATGTGAAAAAAAAAAGGAAGTAACATATGGGTGTGGTCAACTAACGGTTAGCCTTTGCTGCAGGCTGTTGGATGCTGCTCTGAACCCGACACACTCTTTCAGAATGAAAATGAAGGTAAGCAGAAAATGTTAAATTCTTCAGTGTTGATTTTCAGTAAAAAGAGATCAGACAGAGTGGAAGGAGGTCAGATTTTGGAGGGGATGAGAGAAAAAGAGCTGGGCATTATTGGGCATCACAGTTGCAGAGCTTGAAGACCACGTGTCCTACATTTCTGAGAACAAAGGAGGACTGGCCTACTCATCTATCGCACCTATTAACATAGCTTGGTAGATTTCTCATCCGGTTCTGATTGCAGTGTACGTGACTTATTAACATAACATTTAGTTAACTTAAACAATCAAATCGAATGTGATTTGGATAAATTCACTCAATTACTTTCCGACTGCTCCATCTTGTATCTTCACCATGTTCGTACCGTGTAAAGCTTCATTATCCCTCCCACTTCTTTCATCCTCCCTAAAGTACACATAACTTCTGTTATCAGTCATTGTGACAATGTTTTTATGCAGATTATAAGCACATTTATTGACATGCTTAATGGAAAATATAAGCCTTTAACATCTGATAACGTGTTTTCAAAGGTACACTAAAATTTAAAATTTGGATTTGCCATTAGTGTTTTTAATGATATAAAACCAAAATAATTGGGGTTCAAAAGACTAAGACCACTAGTGACAATGCTTCTCTTTTGCATTCTTTAATGTATGACAATATTTTTCTGTAAAAATGATATTAGCATAACTATTTTAAATCAAAAGTAGAATCTTTGAAATTTTAACATGAATTTCAGAATTTTGGAATTTGTGGGATAGTATGTGTGGGTTTTGCTTCAATGACTCACTTAAGGTGGACTCCATGATTGTGTAAAAGCCTCTGATGAGAAGATCAAATCCACTGAGCATCAGCTGAACATGACTAAACAATCTGACCTTTTGGAAGGCCTTAATATGGTCAGTGTCACAAACTTGCTTAAATTTGAACAGTGACCTGCAGAATATTGAATATTTATGAAACTTATCAAAACTTTTATATGTTTTAAATTTATCAGAACTCCATGTTGAAATGAAAAAGTTCCAGATTCCCAATGCTGTCCCAGATCATTGGATACTCCACACACTTTTATAACCTAAGAATAGGTTTGCACTGAAATCCATGTAGTTACTGAATAATAAGCCTTAGTATGTAACAAGCAAGAGATTTTACGGGCTAACTGACAAGAAAATGAGTATAAATAGATAATTACAGTATATTGTTTATCATTTACTTCTTGTTTTTCCCCACAAATCTTGATGTGTTAAAAAATGGTATCTTGTCAAGTATAATTATCATAACTATAGACAATATATCTAATATTTCTCCTGTTGAGATTGTTGTAAGCTTAATTTAAGATTGTTAAAAAGACCTTATTTCTGGATGTTTCAACTTGTTTTAAGTAATTTATCTCACTAAAATGAAAGATAATTTTGCTTATTTCTAGAAATGTACTTGAAAACAGCAAAATTATCTGACAGCATAGTAAGATAACTTAATAAAATTGCTTAAAACAAGTAAAAATGTCTAGAAACAAGCTATATAATCTTAGAATAAGTGCACACCAATCTCAAACTGGGAAATATTAGATATATATCGACGAGATTTAAGATCATTTCACTTGACAGCAAACCATTTTTTGCAGTGTAATGTTTCTAAAATTTCAATCACAAGTGTGCAAGTTGTTGTTGAATACAAAAGCAAAATTCATGTAATACTGTAGTACTTTAGTTTTGTAATCAGATGATATAATCTGGATTACATAGAGTCTGAGACTACCCAACACAGCCTGTCAATCACATGACACAAAGGAAAGCTAGCACAACCCCTGCAAACCCCAAAAATAGACTAAAACCAAAAGAAATAACAGATACAGCTGCAATAAGTCCTCAAATGTTGAAAAATATGTTGTGCCTAAAGATAAAAAGATCAGACAGATCTGAAGTTTGATGTTCTCACTTAATATTATTAGTATCTACTGTATATAATCACATGGTAATCATTTTACAAAGTGATCCATTAAGCCAAGTGTTCATAAAACTGATTTTTATTTTTTATTTTTTTTATTTTTTGACTAAATGTCTCTTAACATCATCATCGTTAGTTTTTATTGATCTTTTTTGTGTGTTTGCTGAATGGCTGCTATAATTACTCATCCTCCTGCTCCAGTTCATACCATTACTTCAGGCTTTACACTGATAGAAAGGCACCTGATTAGAGAGGATGCTATTTTAGGTGGCAGAGACAGAGAACAGATGTGCACTGATGGGTGGCATGTTTTCACATGGAACATCTTCCTCCGAACATGAACACATTTTATGAATGACACATGGGTTTAAAGTAGCCAAACAAGTGGGTTTTTTAGTTTTCTGGGTCGGAACAACGTTACATATTTATAGAATACAGCTTTGTGATCTTGAAAACTCTTGACTCTCCAAGAAACGTGATGAAACACCCAGCAATTGGTGTTCAGTAGCTCAGAGTTAAGGGTTTGTGGAAATTAAATGTGGCCTCAGTAGCAACCACAGTCCAGAGTTTCATACACAGCCTTAGAGACAGTGCACATACAGGAAACATTGTCTGATGAAGATAATGACGTTAGGTCCAAAAAAAGTTGTTCTAACAGTGAGAGAAAAGTAAGCTTTCACTATTCAGAAACTTCATGAACCTTCACGACAATAAGCTTGTTCTTTGCTGCTGTTTAATATGGCTGAACTTGCTGACCCCCACTGCAATTAAAGCACATTATGAGGCCGGTCATGGTCTGATCTTAATGAGGTTACTGTTGTATTCTACTCTTACTATTTTGACTGTTGCTAAGTGATGTGTCCTATATCTCCTGTGCTGTGGTGATCTCTGCCATTGTGGGTTTATAGATCAGAAAAGGAACTTCTGCAAAGTTGTCTAAATAACTTCTACAACACATACAGACATAAACTGAAATATAATCCTGCAAACGTCTGTTCTATTATTCAGTGCTTTTCTATGGTGATTATAACTGTATGTGTGCAATTGAACACCTTTGCTAGTATGAAGTCACTAATTAGAAGTGTCTGGATACTTTTGGTCGTTTAGTGTATACTGAAGTAGAAGGAAAATTATTATTCACATTCATGACATTTGGCAGATGCTGTTGCGACTAACATTCTTAGCATTGTATGGTTTATATAACTTTGGCATTATGGATCTTGCCCAAGGACTCTTATGGTGTGGTGTGCTTGCCCGGAGGGGTCGAACCCTAGTCTTTACTTTTGGTAGGGTTACCCACCACACTACACCAATGGATATTACCACAATTCCATCAACATTTCAATTGCACTTGTAACTGGAAACTGAAATAGAACCAGTGGATTGAACCCACCCAGAATTGGAAAATAGTATGTGTATTTTGTTAGGCCTGGTTGGGAATGGTGTGCTTGTAAATGGTGTGCTTTTTGATGGGACATACGGTTTCCGTACAATTATTATAATTGTTTGTTTTTTTTTCCTATAGTTTTATAGTATAGCTTTTTTCCTTTTTCCTTTTTTTCCAAAAGTTTGTGCACCCGATTTATGTCATGTTGATACAAGCACATAAATAACACCCGATTAACCACGTGGGAAACCATAGCAACACCCTAGCAAGCACCTAGCAACACCTTAGCAACCACCTGGCATACCATAGCAACCACTTATCAACACCTTTTCAACTAATTAAACTACCATAGTAACTGTTCAGCCACCTGGAACTGTTTAAGCTGTGCAATCGCTCTGCAATTTTCTTCAGAAAATGCACTTTTCTAGTTGAATAGTTGTACCTTTACTGAATTACATTTTCAAGAGAGAGAAAAACAAAAAAAAACATTTACTTCTTAGGGTATTTGTTACAATTGTGAAATGTCATCTCTTTTTCTGTATACCAAAAAAAAATATATATATTTTTTTTAATACTTGAATATGTTCAGATGTAGATACTTTCATCTTTCTATTTTCACTCAAATATATTTTGGCTTCATATTTCATCTACAGATTTCAAGTACTCCTAATTTCTATAATAACTATAATTCCTCTGTACTTTTTCCACCATTGTAAAACCCACATCTCCAGTCAGGAGTGAATATGGTCATTCAATGTTTAATAAAGTACAACTAATGTTTATTTGCTGATTTACTTACTGGGGAAAAACTGATTTACATACTGGGGAAAAATAAAATATAGGATGTGACCTCTGCAAAAGTTACGGCACATTTCCTAGTTTGTCTTGTATAGAACTTGTGCACTACAATGTCAAGCAAAATGAACGATTTCAGTGTGTTCTCTGTAGAGGATGTCTTACTTATCACTTTTTTTCAATTAGAAAATCAACAAAACATAACTGAACCTTTGCATATAACTGTACATGTCCAGTATGTGTATGTGTCACACTGAGTACTAACAAGACTGACTTCTGGTGCTGACTAGGCTCTATTACTGCGGCCTTTGACAGGGCCATGTGATCTGGGGTGTCAAATTATAAATGTACACTCACTGACCATTTTATCAGAAACAGTTAGCTTATCTTAGCTTATCTATTTTTCTAATGAAATGGCCAGAATGTGGATTTTGTTGGGAAAAAGCTTGACTCTGTACTTTGCTGTAACTGCCCTAAAACAAATAAGTGAAACACATTAGTAATGTATTTATTGATAAACACATCTGAAATGATTTATTACAAAATCCATTTGCTTTGCAGTGAAGATCTCTAAGACTTTATAGGTAATGAGTTTATTGAAGTGAGTATACTGATTTTCATTTACATGTTTTTTGTTTGTTTGTTGTTTATTTGTTTTTTTTTTGTCTGAGCTCTCAAACAGAATGCAGTCTAAATAAAAACAACACAATATATATTCAGAAATGCATTTCAGGAGTGTTAATTTGATGCTTTGCATTTATCGTGACATTGTAAATTTAATTAGCCCTAAAACTTTAAGCTTGTTGAGTTTATCCAGCATGAGCTGAGCTTTATTTGCATTGTAGGTGACATGTTTGTGTGTTCGCGTGTTTGATTGTGACCTGCTTTACAGACACTCTGGGGAGGAGTCGTACTGTTTGTGTCACTCTTCTACAGAGGTGAGTAATCAAAATTCCCCTCCCTCCTCCTCCTCCTCTTTCTCTCTCTCTCTCTCTAGTTCCTAATAACTTACTTTCTTCCCCTGCCTCATCTCCGCTCTCATCAGCAGAGGGAGAACGACTACTTAAAAACTACACTTTAAAGAGAACTGCCATTACTTCAGAGAAAATGTGCTTGAGTAAAAGTAAAAACACTCATCTCAGGGTCTAATTGAGGGAGAAACGCATGTTAAAGTACTTCAGTGAAAGTACGTTGGAAAGTGCAGACCACGTCTTCAGTTAATGACTGTGGTTTGAGGAGTGAGTCTGTAGAAACTTTAGAAAACGGAAGGAGCTCAGAGAACTTCTGCTTTATTCACTAGAAGGCCAGACATCCCCCCCCCCACCCCGCCCGCCCCAAACCCACTGTAAAACCAACTCAGCACAAAGAGGAGACAGGAGGTGATGGGATGTGAAACATCATTCAAGCTAAGGGGGGTGGGGTGTATGGGAGGGGGAAATAGTGTACACTTTTAGAACAAGGAGTACTAAACTGTCCCTGTTACATAACATCTATAGATTTTTTATGGCATTTGAGTGATTCTTTGACTTATACAGACAATTAAGAAATCAAAATCTGATGAAAAAAGATACTTTTATGGTACAAAAACAGTCTTCAAGGTGAATTTTGAGGAATATGTGTCCAGTTGCTATTAAAATGTAAGTATGATGTTGCTATGGAAACACAAGACAATGACCAAAAGCATGTAATACTACTGCTACTACTACTATTACTACTGCTGCTACTTTTATTACTAATACTGCTGCTACTACTACTACTACTACTATTGCTAATACTACTGCTGCTGCTACTACTGCTGCTACTACTACTACTACTACTACTACTATTGCTAATACTACTGCTGCTGCTGCTGCTACTACTACTACTACTACTACTACTACTACTGATACTACTGCTACTACAACTGCTGTTAACACTACTACTACTGCTGCTACTTTTATTACTAATACTGCTACTACTACTATTGCTAATACTACTGCTGCTGCTACTACTGCTGCTACTACTACTACTACTACAACTGCTACTACTACTACTACTCCTATTACTACTACTACTACTACTACTACTGCTACTACAACTGCTACTACCACTACTACTACTGCTGCTACCACTATTACTTATACTACTGCTACTACTACTATTACTAATCCTGCAACTTCTATTACTAATACTACTGCTACTATTTATACTACTACTAGCACTACTACTACTACTGCTACTACTACTAGTACTACTATTACTACTGATACTACTACAATTACTACTGCTCCTACTACTACTACTATTACTGCTACTACTACTACTACTACTGCTGCTGCTACTACTACTACAACTACTACTGCTGCTGCTACTACTACTACTACTAGTAGTAGTACTACTATTACTACTACTACTACTACTACTACTACTGCTGCTGCTACTACTACTACAACTACTACCAATAATAGTAGCAATATTACTAATACTAATACCAATAATAATAATAATAATAATAATAATAATAATAATAATAACAACAAATTAAACGTATTCCACTTCTCTGCACTCTCCAAGGAAGTTTTATCCAGGAATCTTGTGTTTAAGAAAGGGTTAAGTGGAAAACTCTGTCCTGACTGCTCTCTTGTGTTCCATAATCTGGCCTTGTGTAGCAGCGGGGGCCCTGAGAAAGCTTCTTTCATGACAGGGGACAAAGCTCTACATCACAACACTATTATTATGTCAGTCGTTGCGTACATTTGCATCTGTCAGCTCCAAGAATATACGGCTTTATTTTTATCCGAGGCTCGCATGTGCTGCAGGACGAACAGCAAGTTATTGTTCCATGAGAATTATTCATGGACTGTTTCTCCCAGTTTAGGAGTAGCCACTTATGTTGTAAAGTATTGTTAGCAGATTCACTTTATTAGTCAAGTGCACCTGCATGTACTGTAAATGGGTCTATACACAAACAAACAATACAGAATACAAATGGGAAATAAATACTACAGATAAACAAAACCAGAAAGAATCACAAACTATAGATATAGATACAACTTACAGTAGATCAGGTGGGTTATGTCTGTTAACCGATGCACATGTCTAGTAATTGTGGCATATTTATTAATAATTATGGTGTATTTATTAAAGTTCCAGCTTGGTGCTATAACCACTGCATGTTAGAGGAGTTATAAGATGGGGAAAGCTGTAGATCAGGGCTAAAACTCAAATTACCTGAGGGCCACTAGCCAAGTGGTCTCCTGCAAGGGAGGCTGGTTGAATAAATACCAACTTAAGCACATCTTAGTTTACATTTATTAGCAATTCTGTCAAACCACAACTACTACTACCAATACTACTACTACTACTACTACTACTACTAATAATAATAATAATAATAATAATAATAATAATACTCTTAGTATTCACTTGCATCAAATAAACTTACATTTTACAGTATATATGGGACTCTTACTGTGACTCTTCCACTATGTCATGAATGAATCCACAAAGGCAGACTTAACTAACTATCAGTCTAAATTAGAATAAGCTAAATTAAAGCCATGCCCACTTAGGGCATGAATGATTTGAATGATTCCTCTTGCATGCAGAACACTAGTTCTAACATTATAGGAATCAGTCTAAGCTGATCTTATATGGATTATTCTACTAAATTGGCTCAAAGTCAGAGCTGAAAACACATTTCAGACTTTTAATTTTTGATGAAGATCCTATCGCTTTGACTGACTCTATGCCTTAATTATGGCTATTTTGTTAAAACCAAAGATTGAACATTCCAGTAAAACACCAGATTGAACATTCTGTCTCTACTAAAACAATCATAGCACTACTGAAACTTTACCCTGTTTCAGTAGTGACTGTTATATTAGTGACAACTTTAGCACATTTTGAGCAGAACTCAAAAACACTAGCCAGTACATGACTAGCAAACACAGCTAGTTGTGAGTTGCACACACATGAAATCATAATATTTTTCATTAAAGCATGAAAGAATTACTTAATTGTAGAAAATATGAGTTTGAGTACTGACAATTCCTCATATTTCTCAATGATTTTCAGATTTTGGGACACATTTATTTCAAAACAATGTGATCTAACTGCTCACCATGTGGCCATGAGGGGCAGGGATGCAGTCACTTCCTGCTCTTTAATGCAGGGACATCTGCCCATCACACACATGTAGCTACAAAAAAATACTATTTTTATTCATTTACTTTTTTGTATTTAAGGATAAATTATAAATATGAGGCTGCCCTGAGAGCCGGAAGTTTGAGGCCCTAGACTAACATCCATTCTTTTCATTCTTCGAGTTTGAATAGAAATGTCAGATCTGTTTAGTTGTCAATTGCTTTTCAGCTTTTAGCTTTTTTCTTATTTTGCCTTTGGAAGTTTCAAGCAAATTGAAACCAGAACTATGGTTCAACAGGTTGACATGTATCTCATATCCTCTTTTAAAAGGCAGTGATGCTGTAAATATAACATCCTACCCAGAAACCCAGAACTCCTCAACGCCTTTTGTCACCAATGACCCAACGCAAACCACCAGAGGTAAACTAACACATCATATACACCCTTATCCTTCCATCACTGATCTTTATGGCAATATTTGGCTATATTTACATAATATTTCATCGAATGAAATATATCCTGTAACACTGGCTTTTAATTAACAACACACATTGCGTTAGCTATTTTAATATTTTGTATCATATTGTGTTAAAAGGTTAATGATAATCACATTTATTTATTTATTTATTTATTTATTTATTTATACATATTTATACATATATGTTTGGTGTAATGTGAACATTGTTAAAGCAACCAGTCCATACGTGGAAGCTGAGCTGTGAAAGTTGCCATGTCATGAAAACTAATGCATTTGCATCTAACCACCCATTCAACTTATAGCAGTTAAGCTGAAGTTATAAGGAGGGTTTCAGCCTGAATTGCTTTGTAAACGAGGCACAAAACAGGGCAGCCAATCACAACAGAGCCCATTTACATATATCACGTTTAAAGATGTTATTAACACAAACAGGATGTTTTATTCTACAGTATAAAAAGCAAACAGAATTTCTATATTATATTATGTAAAAATGAATGATCCTTAAGTTTTAAAAGTAAGACAAATGGTGAGTGTTTCAGATGTAGATTAAGCCTAAACCTAGATAAATAGGCTTGATCCATGTCTGGCAAACAAGCTGAAGAAGTATTGTCCTTAACCGGACACACAAATGTGTTAAAAATGGCACTGCATGTTGCTTTTTACATGTTTTGTGAACATATTAATAGTTTTCATTTTACTCATTGTTTTTCTTTCCTAGTTCTTATCCAAAGACCTATTTTAATTAGTATGAGATTATATTTTAAGAGGATTTTCTTATCCGTCCTAGATGCCTTGGCAACAAATGATTCCAGTATAGCTGAACTGCTCAGCACAGCACAAAATGATACTGAGCATCAAAGTGAACATGTTACTGCTACAGACAGCTCCATAGTGGAACCATCTACTACAGTGGAATCAACCACCATGGCACCACAGCATCAAAGTGAACATGTTGCTGCTACAGACAGCTCCATAGTGGAACCATCTACTACAGTGGAATCAACCCCCATGGCACCACAGCAGGAGTCCACACAAGCAGAGAAAGTTACTGATATCCTGAGCAAGACATCTGGTAACCGTCCCATTGCTCTTTTACTTTGCTTTTTAGACACTAACTAACCACTGTCTGGTGGTCTGGTTGGTTTTGTTGCTCAATGTGGCCAAAAACTGCCTACTTTGACAGAAAGAGGCCTTTTGAGTGACATGCAAAATGACAAATTACAGCTTGCTGCTTTCCATGAAGAAGCAGATGATTGTCTAAATGGTCCTACAACCAAAAAAAGACATATGTGAGATAATGTAGTATGTTTGGACAAACAAGCAGGGACATCTGATTTATTTAATACTAACTGCTGCAAACAAAACTCTAAAAAATGCAGTGAATTTTTTTTTCCATCCAGTGACTCTATCTCTGAAAGGGGCATGTCGGGGCATTCAGAGCAGAAAACTGCTTACTACTAGCTAATATTTAGCTTGATAAAAAGCTGGTGCAAGAAACTGCATACACGGGGCATCTTGTAGTGCAATCAGGATTTTTTTAAGTGTACATTTACGTTCATGGCATTTAAAAGACGTTCTTATCCAGAACAGCTCAAAAAAAAGAGTTTTGTTATCCACTCAGAGAGTTTATCCTAGCCAGTACAAACAGGTTACAGTCCAAACTACCATTGATGTTGATACCTAGAAAGATGATACAATACAGAATGATTAAATTGTAAAATATGACAGCAGTTTAGGCCCACTGTTAACAAAATAAAAATAAAAATAATAAATAGTAGACTTTGAGAAGAAAGTCGTAATATTTTGAAATAAAAAGTTTTACTTTATGATATTTTGAGATTAGTCATAATATAAAGAAAAAACGTTGTAGTGGCATTAATACTAGGAAAAGTCGCAGTATTGTGGCCAAAGGGTTTGCAAAAGGAAAATAGCAACCTTCTTGTGTTAAAATGAGGGGCGTTGACTTATTTTCGGGACATCGTTCTTTTGGAATGTACCACGGCCAGGATAAATAAGGCCAAAATAAGAACAATAGCGTCTTGGTCAAATACTGAGAAAGAATTGTAAAAACAACGAGAGCATAGCAACCTTTGCTAACTGATATGAGGGTGGAAACTTCAGTACACTGAATTCATTTTTTGATCTATTTAGGTATTAATTTGTTTATATGTCTTTTGCTTTGGTGTGTATGTCTTTTCTTCTTGCGTGGATGTGCCACTGACCATCACTGCTGTCGTCACTGGTGTTGCTATTTTGATGTCTAATGATGATTGTTGACTCTTTTTGGCTTTTTGAACATAGTTCTTGTGTTCTTTGGGTTTGCTTGTTAATAAAACATTGGGCGATGAGGAGTTGGTAGAGTTATACATTTGTATCGGTTTCACAATTAAGGAATAGTCAATCTCCTGGCACATCAGCACCAGATTGTTATAGTGTAAGAACACAAACAGCTGTGCAAGAAACTGTGTTTATTTAGAATAAAGAACCAGACAGGCTAAGAGGAAACTGTCTGTTTTGTTGAAAGGAGAACTCAAAGGCAGTGGTTGTCTACACGGCGATCAGTTTTTACATTCAAAGAGGCCATGTAGTTTCACAGGAGACAATGAGATGATAATCAAAATGATCGATCCCAAAAGAGGATCCCTTTGTCGTCGCCAGTACAATCGGTACCCATACAATTATCCACTTTATCCTCAAACTATCGCATTTATTCTTGTAACTTTATGACTTTAATCTCGAAATATTATGACCTTATTCTCGAAGTCTATTATCTTTATTTTTTTTCTAACAGTGGCCCCAAAAACGCCATCATAGTAAAGAGCATGAGTGCAACACAGATATTTAGGAAGTGCTAGTGTTCATTTAAATGCTTCACAAAGTGATGGGTCTTGATGGTGATGGTGAGGGAAGGGTGCAAAGTATGGATCAAACACCTCGGTGGTCTACAATCTTCTGGATGTTGTAAAGGAGAGATCGGCATGACTGAGGCATCTTTGCAATATAAGTTAAGAACAATAACTGGTCATCCGGAATCACACCAGGGCTTTCTGCATCTTCAGACAGAATGACCAAGTTCTCAGACAAGATGGCTAGATTACAGTAAGGACTAGTTTACCGCAAGAAAGTTGCATTCCAATGGCTGATAGAGTCATAAAATAGTGATAAACTCAGGCAGGTTAGTTGTTACCTGGGTTTACCAGTTGTTATCAATCACATTCAGAAAGTTGCTCGAAGTAAAACAAATAATATGATCTACCAAGTTGGAAAATACATCAGTGCAGGGCTACACAGTGCAACAATTTCCTGTCTGTGCTAGGAGAAATGTATCCAGTAAGATCACAGTCACTTTTCTTTTCATACTATATGTTGTAAACAATATCAACCAACATTCCCAAACTCATCTCCTCAAATGTAGTTGTGCAAACTGCAGTGCAGGGTAAAGCCGGGGTTACACCACACGAGTTTTACCCTGATTTTAGCCCTGATTCTCAGTCTGGCTGAGTCTGTGCTAGTTGGCTCTAGTCTCAAGATTTCTGGGTCAATTGGACAGTTAGAGAGAGAATCTAGTAGTGCATGAGGGGCGCAGACTCACATTTTCAGTGTCCTGATCACGTTTTAGACCAGTCAGAGTTTATCAAACATGTCTGATTTTTTAGACCTGACTCTGAGCGTTATCTAGTGTGAACTGGTCAACGACTCAATCTGAATGGACTCCTGCAACAGCCAATAAAAACTGAGAGCACGAAAGAAGAAAATACAGCAAGTAAACAAAAGTCACTCACATGTGGAGCTAAGCTTTTTACTGAGCTGAGTTTAAGGCACGAGCACAATCGAGTTTATGTACACTAAAAAATACCATTGATCACATTTTTAAATCCATGATTCTCACTTAAACATGTTTACCTGCTGCTTATATACTGTATCAGCGCAAACGGCAGAGAAAACAGCAGCAGCTGCTCCACCTTGTTTCTTTGGGTATCCTAGTAACGGGAAAACACATTTGCGTGAGTTCACAAGAGTTTATGTGAGTTTGCGCAAGTTCAGTTCTGTTCAGCAGCAGTTTAAAAGTTGTGTAGTGTCTGATCCCTAATCATTTAGTGTAGATCCCCATTTCAGTCGCCCAAAAAAGTCTGAAAAAACCAGTTGGATAGTCTGAGATATGCAGTCTTTTTAAAATCTATCGAGACTTCAAAAGTCGTGTAGTGTACCCAAGGCATATGTTCTAGTGTTCATGGTAGTTGTAGTCAGGTAATCAGGTAATACAATTGCCATAGAGTAAATCCAAATGTATCTAAACGACTGGTTTTGTGCCATGCAAAATACCCCAAATTTGTTAAGTATGGGGCTGTAATGCCAAAGCCAGCCCAATGACGTCTCTGGATTCAGAGGCAGACGTGCCACCTGCTGTGTCTATTGCCTTTCCTAACTTTTGTTTTTAGAAATAACTAATTCAATTAAAAATCTCATACAAAGTCCAATTAACCATCACCTTTAGTTAAGGGTTAATAAACTATTTTATTTGAATTTTTTTGATGGCAGCCATACATGCATTTGTGAGCTCCTGCTAGTGTGGGTTTCTTCTCTCTCAGTTGCACACAAAGCATTTCTTGAGTGGTACTAACACCTTGTTGTGAAGGTGAGGAAAACATTATCAGTACTATACTTCAGAAAATAAATATTAAAATGCTGTCTAATTAATATTCTTGTCATTTTATCTCCTCTGCTACTCATGACCAGTATAACACAAACAAGTGGTCAGGTGGTCAACTCCACAAGCTGACAAGCATGCCTGAAAATACCATTAGTGTACAATAAACATCAGAAGGGTTATGTAGCTCTATGGGTGGCTTGTCTGAGGCTGAGACTAGGCTGCACCTATTCCAGTGTTTCTTGTAGAAAAAGCTGTAAACTCCGAAGGGAGACTGAAAGAGAGTGACTGACACGGTATAACTCACCATAATGCCATTCATATCAAGGGCACACATAACTCCGAAACTAATTAGCAGGTAATTAGAAAAGTGTTCAGCCCTCTTCCCGTGTAGAGAGAGGCTTAAAGATACGCGGCATTGCGGAGGGTCGTTGTGGTGAACTGATATGCTTTATGAAGTGCCATTAAAACCGAGCGGCATATCCTGAGAGAGTGGCGTCATTGAAATATTCAAAAATTCAATTTGAAAGACGGGTCAGACAGAAAATGAGTGCACCTGGAATTTAATTAGAAGTAATTATGGACGGATCCATATGACTCGATAAGGGGACGTTGACTTCCTTCCCAGGCAAAGTGTTTAATAATGGTTGGCTATCTCCTTGTATTGTGAACATGGGACTTTTCCTGAAAAAAGAACTCTTTTTCTCTGTCCCTTTTTCTCCCTTCTGGAGCTTTTTCACTTCTTATCAAGCTTATCAAGTCACAGTAGCTGAGGGTATACAATAGCAGCTCCCAGTGCATGGAACAATACAGCGTGCTGGTGCAGTAGAAGCTCGTCTCTCAGAGTGAACGTACAGGACTGACAAAATGGTGCTGACTTTATAAAGCGCTTTTCACAGAATGTATGTGTTTAATGTTTTACAACTGAAAAAGCAAAAGCATTTATTTTGGGTTACTGTGGTTTAGGATTGGGCTTATACATATATACTTGTATATATATATATATATATATATATACACACATATATATATATATATATATAAATATGTGGGATACTTATATGTACACACACACACGACGCTATTGTCAGCACAAAACCTTGTATCTCCAAAATGGTAACTTTACAGAAAAAGGAAAAAACATATTTTACTTTTAATGTAAGTCAATGGAACCAGACATCTTTCCAAGTCATTTTGGGCCATTTCTTTTTGTCCATTCGTCATGAAATGTGCAAAGAATTTAAAAGACAAAAGGCATTTTCAAATGATGTCAAAAACTAAAAAACATATATATATATGCATATGACAGTATATATCATCACTGTCTGAACAAAATCTCATGTCCACAAAAGTAACTTTGCAGGAGATAAAAAAGTTCCTTAATGTTCAATGTAAGTTAATGTAATAGCTTTTTTTTTTTTCCTAAATCAGTTTTGGCCATTTCTATTGGTCTGTTTTCATACAATTTTGACACAGTGTAAACAGCTGCTGATGCTTAAGGTTTTGTCCTGGCAGCATCTCTCTCTCTCTCTCTCTCTCTCTCTCTCTCTCTATATATATATATATATATATATATATATATATATATGCCAGAACATATGTGGGGCATATTATTATTATAATAATATGATATAGATACTTACATATATTTAATGCATATGGCACATGCTACTATTACACATAGGGATTTCCATGTATTCATGTGTGAAATGCGCTGGAACCCTAATTCAGAAGTAAAAGTCATGACTGAATGGCGATTTAAAAATTCTAGTTTAACTCTATTTTAGGGAAGCCGCGTATAGTTGTTCTATTCTGTTCTAAAGTGTGTCCACAAAGCCAAGTGTCTGGTGAACGCACCTCAAGTTCAGCCTACAACCCATTCAGTCAGTGTAGAGTCCCACTGCAGTAGAGTCTGTCCACCCAGCCACCATGGTCACAACTGTCATTACACTGTGTGTTTGGAATGTGAAAGCAGCAAAATTCCACAATCAGTAAAGCTGTGGTTTGCTTTCACTTTTGCTGTCTAATTTCTTATGTTTTAATTCAAATATCTAGTCTACTTAATGTAACTGATATTTTTGTGTTTATTGTTGTTATTTCATCATGAGCTAGCTAGGTATCTAAACGTTAACATATCTAATGTAAAAGTAACTGAATGTTTTCTATAGTCATGATAACATCATGAAATAGGTAGTTTAGTATTCCGATAGCAACAGTAGCTGTTTTGACAAGCATTTGATGTTTTGTTTGTAAGCTTGTTTGGATTCTTGCATGCTGTGTCACTAGTTACGTCACTTATCTTAGGAGATGTGGAGATGTTAGTTTGATTTTTAGAAAGTGTCTATAACTCTACATCTTCATTTTTAAACACTCAAAACTTTTTCCTGACAGTTCTTTTATTGCTTCCATAGTAAATTTCCTGCACATTAATCCTTCTTTTAAATAAATAAATAAATAAATGAATAAATACATTCATAGGTTGAAGGACTGAAGTTTAAGTTTCAGCCAAACTGTATTGTGTGGGTGAATTCCTGGTGTTTAATCAAAATGTGGATGATTATAAGCTCTGTAAGCAAAATGTGTAGGTGGGATAGATACTTGATCAATTTGCGCCAATCAGTCAAAACGCTGTTGTTGGGAAAATGTTTTTGTTCTTTCAGCTCTAACAAAAAGGTCATAGAGCCCTGATGTAAGAACATAACGATAAGCTTCTAAGAAAAACAACACGCAAGATTTTCCAGCAGCTCTTGAAATACACGCACACACATTGTCTAAGCTGCTTATCCTTCTGGGTTGTTAGGGGAGCTGGAGCCTTTCCCAGCAGTCCCAGGGTAGAAGGCAGGAAACATCCTGTACAGGTCGCCAGTCCATCACAGAGCAGATATACAGACATATACAATCACACACACTGACATCTAGGGGATAAGAGGATGAGCTACTTCCGCCTCTCAGCCAGACAAAGCATCTAATTAGCACTGGCTATCTCCTTGTATTGTGAACATGGGACTTTTCCTGAAAAAAAACAAAAAAACAAAAAACAACTCTATCTCTCTCTCTCTCTCTCTCTCTCTCGCTCTCTCTCTTTCTGTCTCTCTCTCTCTTTCTTTCCCTCTTTGGGGGATTTCTGACTCTGTATCAAGCTTATCGAGTCACTGTAGCTGACATTATACAATAGCCGTTCTCTGTGCATGAACAGTACAGCATGTTGTTGTGGTGGAAGCTCCTCTCTGCAGTTATTTGAGGATCAGATAAATGTGGATTTATTGCTCAGGTGGACAGATAAGCATGCGTCTCCTCTTCCCTCGCTTGGCTGCTCCTCCACTCACTGCAGCAGTGCAGAACAGGCCCATGAGGAGGAGACTGCTGGGCCAGCGTGGCCTCTTACCAGCCTTTCTGTTTGTCAATGCCAAACACACACACACACACACACACACACACACACACACACACACACACACACTCACACACACTCACACACTCACACACACACACACACACACACACACACACACACACACACTCACACACTCACACATACACATGCTGATGTAAAAAAATAACATTTTGTTTACATGGAGAAGAAAATGTAACCATAAAATCAGAATATTCATGTTTTCCTATCATTGTAAGAGCATTTTTTCTTTTCACAACCGAGCCAACACACATATTCTAACAACAAACATAACATTAATCCTATTGTAGACCTTCCTTGTTTTGGAGACATGAACAAAAGCACATATACAGTCCTGTGCCAAAGTAGACCACCCCTCACTGATTTACTTTGCAGTCAAAATGGCCATTAAGTACGACACCAGCAGCTTCTTTGTTTTGATGTTTTTATGTCTCCTTTTCTCAGTGAGGCTTCTTGACAGCTACAAATCCTTTCAGACCCATAGTGCTGAGTTGTCTTCTCACAGTGGGACATAAATATAGTAGGTATATATACACCGATCAGGCATAACCACTTACTATATAGGTGCACTTTGTAGTTCTACAGTTACAGACTGTAGTCCATCTGTTTCTCTGCATACTTTGTTAGCCCCCTTTTACCCTGTTCTTCTGTGGTCAGGACCCCCATGGACCCTCACAGAGCAGGTACTATTTGGGTGGTGGATCATTCTCAGCACTTCAGTAACACTGACGTGGTGGTGGTGTGTTAGTGTGTGTTGCGCTGGTCTGAGTGGATCAGACACAGCAGTGCTGCTGGAGTTTTTAAACACCTCAGTGTCACTGCTGGACTGAGAATAGTCCACCAACCAAAAATATCCAGCCAACAGTGTCCTGTGACCACTGATGAAGGACTAGAGGATGATTAGCTCATACTGTACAGCAAGAGATGAGCTATCATCTTTGGCTTTACATCTACAGGGTGGACCAACAACGCAAGTGCGTCTAACTGAGTGGACAGTGAGTGGACACAGTGTTTGGCTGCTGGAGCTCATACCAGCACAACACACACTAACACACCACCACCACGTCAGTGTTACTGCGGTGCCGAGAATGATCCACCACCCAAATAGTACCTGCTCTGTGAGGGTCCATGGGGGTCCTGACCACTGAAGAACAGGGTAAAAGGGGGCTAACAAAGTATGCAGAGAAACAGATGGACTACAGTCTGTAACTGTAGAACTACAAAGTGCCAAAGTGCACCTTTATAGTAAGTGGAGCTGATAAAATTGACAATGAATGTAGAAACAAGGAGGTGGTCATAATGTTATGCCTAAGCATCTGTATATATGATGATTAAAGGGTTTGTTGTGTTATTAGATAGCATGTGCAGTACATGGTTCTATATAGAACCTAACTGAAAAGGGTTCTATATTGCACCAAAAAGAGTATTAATCTTGTTACAATGTCTCGCTTTTGCATAGAAATACACACACACACACACTTCTTTTCCATATCATTCCATTAATGATGTACATAATTTGAACTTGTATGTTTTCATGTTTTTGATGCTGCTAGTAATGACACTTGCTATAATTGCCACTTTTTTTCTACAGAAAAGAAACAGGGAGGGTCCGTCTATTATGGTAAGAGTTTCTCACATTCAATTACACATTCAAATACTGTGCTCAACTTTAACCCCTTTAAAATCACAACCTTTTGACATGGACATCTAAGGTATTATCCAGTAACTACAGTGACTTCACTGCAAACTGGCTGAACTATTCTAAAGTTATACAATTGTGTAATAAGACTTTGGGTCTGCTGACGAGTGCTGGCCATTTAAGGGGGTTAAATAGTGTACAATTTAAATAAATGTGATATATTTAATGTTGGATGATTTTGTTAAAATTTCTGTTACCTTCTTAAATGGTCAGGGCCCACTAAGCAGGTTAAATGTTTTATTACACACATCTATAACCTAAGAATAGCTCAGCTAGTTAGCACTGAAGTCCGTGTAGTTACTGAATAATAAGCGTTCGTATGTCATAAGCCTGGGATTTTAAGGGGTTAAATATTGTTGCTGTCCAAAGAAAAACATGTATCTCTGAAATGGGAACTTCACACGGGAAAGCAAAAACTTTCTTTCCTTTTAATGTAAGTTAATGTAAAGAAATGTTATTTCTAAGCAATTTTTGAGGCGTTTCTATTGGTCCATTCTTCATGAATGTAAAGAACACCTTCTGATCTCAAATGAAAAAAATGGAGAGCCTTTTTTCTGGACAGTGATGATATGTTTTCTGCTTTTTATTCTGGCACTGAAAAACACAGTAGTGCCCAGTAATACACACACACACACACACACACACACACACACACACACACACACACACACACACACTTCTTTTCCTCATCATTCCATTAATGATGTACGTAATTTGAACATATATGTTTTCATGCTTTTGATGCTGTTATTAATAACACTTGCCATAATTGTCACTTTTCTCCTCAGACATAGAAAGGGACAATCACTTCCATTATGGTAAGAGTTCATTACATTCAGTTTAAATAGGAAAAATGCTGTCGCTTCTGTGAGTCATGCATTGTAACACACTTCACACACAAAGCCTTAGTGAGTAATTCAATTAGATTAGATTAGATTAGATTAAATTAGATTAAAGTAGATAAATTGTTATAAAATGTATTTGAAATTCTGTTGTGCTGTGCTCCACACAACACTACAGTATTAAACATAAAAATAAATCATTAAAGATATATTGCTTTGAAATGTTTCTTCAGTTATCTGCTTCTCTGAACACTCTGCCTGTTAGTAAAGATAATAGCCATTTATAAGGCTCTACATATTGTGCTATAACATTAATTACAGACACTTGCTTTAACATCCAAAGAAAACTCTACTCTTATCCGCTGAAATTGTTTTTCATCCATGTTCTCTGTGGCCTCTCCTCAGTTCAGAACTGCATCACTGATTATTTCATATTTTCTGATCTCTGGGCTTCATTAAAATGGTTCCTTTTTATGACCTGTGTGAGCTAGTGCTTGTTTTCATATATTAAGTGTATATATACACTCATTAAAAAAGACGATTCTTCTGTGTTCTTTAGTAAAGGGAATTGTTCTACTTAGAACTGTAGCTCTATATGGAACTATTTTATGCTTAAAGGGTTCGTTGGATGGTGCAATAGTTCTTCAGATTGATGGAGAATATGTTGTATATGGTTCTATATTAAACCGTTTTGAAAATGGTTCTATATAGCACCAAAAAGTGTTCTTCTGTTTTTTTACGATGACCAACTTGTAACATTTAGCAACTTTTTTTGGTGTTATCTAGAACCATTCTCAAAAAGATCTATATAGAACCATATGCAGTTCATACTCCATCATTCTGAAGAACCATAGAACTATTTCAATGTGCAAAGAAGCTTTTAACCCCTTACATGGTCAGGGCCCTCCCGCTGTTGTATACACTATGTGGCCAAAAATATGTGGACACACCTCCAAATTATTGAGTTATTGAGTTCAGTTCACAGTCACATCTCTATAGAAAAACATTGGCGGTACTAGGGGGAAAAAACTGAAGAGCTCAGTGACTTTAAACGTACCGCTGTCATAGGATGCCACATAGATCGTGTCCGCTGATGCATCGCTCACTACAGAGCTGTGCGTCTGGAGCTTCATGAAAAATTTCCGTGACTGAGCAGCTTCATGCAAACCTAAGATCAAAATGTGTAATACCGAGTGTTGGCTGGAGTGGTGTAAAGCATGCAACCACTGGACTCTGAAGCAGTGGAATCATGTCCTCTGGAGTGACGAATCACGCTTCACTATCTGGCAGTCTAATGGATGAATCTAGATTTGGTGGATTCCAGGAGAACACTACCTACTGGAATGCAGAGTGCCAACAGTAAAGTTTGGTGGAGGAGGGATAACGGACTGGGGCTGTTTTTCAGGGTGTGGGCCCCTGTGTTCCAGTGAAAGGCAGTGTAAATGCTAAAGCATACAAAGACTCCCAATTTTGTGGCAGCAGTTTGGAGAAGACCCGTTCCTGTTCCAGCATGACTGTGACTCTGTGCACAAAGCGAGCTCCATAAAGTTTGTTGTTAGTTTGACAAGTTTGGTGTGGAGGAAGTCCAGTGGCCTCAACCCCACTGAACACCGTTGAGATAAACTGGAACACTGATTGCAAGCCAGGTCTTCTCGTCCAAAACCAGTGCCTGACCTCACAAATGCTCGTTTGACTGAATGGACACAAATTCCCACAGACACACTCCAAAATCTTGTGGAAAGCTTCCTAGAAGAGTGGAGGCTGTTGTAGCTGCAAACGCAGGGCCAACTCCATATCAATGCCTATGATTTTGAAATGAGATGTGCAACAAGCTCATATAGGTGTGATGTATAGGTGTTCACATACTTTTGGCCATACAGCATATAAGTGCTTACATATCGCTGTTGTCGGATCAAAACCTTGTATCTCCATTTTTGACATTTTTCAGTTTTGGACATAATTTGAAAATGCCTGTTGACCTTTACATTGTGTGTAAATTCCATGATGAATAGACCAAAAGAAACGGTCCAACATTACTTCAAAAAATGTCTGGTTCCATTGACTTACATTAAAAGTAGAGTGGGTTTTTTTCTTCTCCTGTAAAGTTATTTACTTTGTGTTTGTGTGTGTGTAGATTATTCATCTCTGAGGCAGGCGGGCCTGAGCATTGCTGCTGTTCTCTTCGTGCTGGGCATCATGGTGGTCACATGTAAGTAAAGGCTGAAACTCTGTTCCTACACTGATACTGATCTATGAGGTGAAAAACCTCAAAGCACAACTCTCTTTCACTTTCTGTCTTTTTGTTACTCTTTTCATGATCCAAGGTGGCAAAATGAAACGGATACCTCGCTGTCGCGTGTCCAAGGGGAGGTAAGTGTGTATGCGCGTGTGAAGTGCAAGGTGGTGCTGACGTCAGTGATTAACGCTCCAGCACACTCCAATGTCCTCTTTTCTGTAAAACCACACAATGTCCTCAACACAAAGAAGGTTTCAAGGCTAAGACGTATGCACTGAATATCAAAAATACAGTGTCTACTTTTCTCTATACTGCATGCATTTATTCGGCTGAGCAGTACAGTCATGCTTTCGTGTAAACACGTAAGCCTGTTGCTGAGAGCACCCATATGGAACAAAAAAATGAAAAGGAAAAAAGGCTTTATTTCCTATGAACAAAGTTACTGAGCCACATATATGAATGTAGACAGCTCTGACAGGAGCCTAATGTCGCTTAAATTGACCCGTGCAAAAAAGGCAATTATATAATTTGAACGCTATGAGGCAGGCATAATAATATGTTTCACAACCTTTCGACAGAGTTACTGAGACTTGAGGAAGAAAAAAAAAAAAAAGGATCAACGTTTCATAGCTGGAATTCTCCCAGGAACAATGCAAATGCTGCTGAGGACTTTCTGTTCACCAGCACTGCAAAGACCTCCTGAACTTATTCTTTAATATCGATCTCACTGATTCCATGCAGACTATCTACACCAGTTGGTGAAGCAGTACAGCAGTCTTTGAGGTTTCAGTGCTTTGAAACGACTTTCGCCTCTTCAAGAGAGTCAGAGCAAAAGAGCAGGCAAAAGAAAATGCATTGGACATGATGTTTAATTTCTATTCATCAGATTTAGTGTAGAGTATCATAGCTGGAGCAGCGGGTCACTCGGTAAAGGCTCCGTTACTGGAAGTGGAGGATGGCTTCTTTAAAACCAGACACCAATAGATGTCAACTTCCAAATACTAACGTTTCAAACTTTTGGCCTCCATTGAGCGAGGAACATAACCTCCTGGGGTCAATCATTGCCCTGGTGCACTGAAACTGCTTTATATTGCATTTATTTATATATTAATAACACCAGTTTTGTTTAACTCTTGAAAAAAAGGGTTATATTGAAAAAAATATATTAAACAAACATAAGTTTTCAAGGATGCATTTAGAATGGGCCAGTGCAATGCTGGACCCCTACAGTTTAACCTCTTGAACTCTAGTGTTATTATTCAGTAATTAATTGTAGAAGGGGTTGTTATTATTCAGTAATTACTATGCATTATTCGGTATCTACAGCAATGAAACCTGGACCACTAAGCCTGTGGTTTATAAAAAGTTTTGTTTAGGCAGACTCAGTGAACTCAGTGAACTCTAATGTTTGTGAGCTCATCTTGAGTATGAGATTATTGACAGCGACTGCGAAACATAGACCCATGCTATCATTCAGCTAGTGAACTTTAAGTTTCTGGATTGTGTTGATGGGTTCTGCTGTGTGTGACCCTGTGTCTGCAGGTCGTACGAGGTGACCAGAATGTAACGCAGGCCGGAGAACATCACCAGCCTGCAGGAGAGCAGCAGATTCTCATGATCATCCAGTCGGACCTGTTCTCACAGCACTGTGTGTGTGTGTTTATGTGGAGGGGGGTGTTAATCAGTTGAACACTGCGTCATCAGGACTGGATGGAGAGGTGGTCTGTTTGTGCAGATGTTTTAGAGTCTTGAAATAGGAGTGTTTTCCACTATTGCACATACACAGTATGCACTATTGCACATACACAGTATGCACTATAGACGCAGTATATGTGTGTAGTGTGCATGTGTTTGTGTCATTTTCAGGACAAAGATGTCCTCAGTTTGTAGTAAAACAAGGGCTAACTTATAACTTCAGAACCAGCAAAGTGTACAGATGTTATTTTTCAATTTTTCTTTTATTTTTTCAATTTTTTTTTTCTTTTTTGTAACAGAAAAAAAAAAATGGTCAATGATGTTAAGATTCGGGTTAAGGTTAAGGTTTTTACATGTAATATATATGGAACTTATCGTTGCTGTCAAGCAAAAACCTCATATCTAAATTTTTTGTCATTTTCTTATTTTCTCTCTTTTTTTCTTGTTTTTGTTTCTTTTTTTATTTGCCTTGTGTAAACTGTTATGATCAAAGGGCCAACAGAAAACGTCTAAAACTACTATTGCTTCCTTTTTTTCTCTTTTTCTCTTATAAGTTAAGAATATTTTTCCATCTCCTACCAAGTTACTGTTTTAGACATACAAGGTTTTGTTCTGACAGCAACAATATTATACAGGCACATTACACATATCATCGCTGCCCATAAACAAGTGTCTCCATTCTTGTTGTTTTTCTTTTTTTTGACATAATTTCAGAAAATCAGCTGCCTTTTACATTGTGTGAGAATTTCATGACGAATGGACCAATAGAAATGCTCCAAAATTGCGTGAAGTAAAATCTCTTTACCTTAACTTGCATTAAAAGTAAAGAACATTTTTGCCTTCTCCTGTAAACTTGCCATTTTCTTTGGACAGCAATGATATGTGTAATACATTCAGGACAAGCTATTATTACATACAGGTACTTACATACAGTACTGTGCAAAAGTCAGAGACCACTCTTCATTTAGATCATTTCCAATCAAACAGCTGTCCAAATCCTTTTTTAGCATCAGGACGAAAGCAGAAAGTATATATTTAACTGAAAATTACACAGAACTAGGTGTAATATCAGATACTTCAATGTTTAATGTGTCCACTCTTTATGTTATTAGAGCTTCCAGTCTTTTCAGGAGACTCACTTTCAGTTTTTCAAAGAAATCGGTAGGAATATTTTTCCACACCTTTAAAGTTCAGCCTTAAAAGTTGGTTACATTTTCTGCTTCTCATAATCCAAATAATCCAAACACATTCAGTGATGTTGAGGTCTGGACTCAAGATGAGACTGGGGTGGTCAGTCCGTTGTTCTGACAACATCAGCGGCTTCTTTGTTTGTTTCTTTTTCTCAGTGAGGCTTCTTGACAGCTACACATCCTTTCAGACCCACAGCGCTGAGTTGTCTTCTGAAAAATGACTATCCTGTCTTTAAAGGCCATTTTGACGGAAAATTTAATGAATTGTGGTCTCTGACTTTTGCACAGTTCTGATGCCTGTCCTGACAGGATATAAAAACAAACATACAAGGTGTAAACCTGACCTCCTGGTTTGTAACAATAGCGATGGATGAAGAATAAGACATGTGCCGTCATGCTGCACCAAACACTAGTGGTGACACAGTCAAAGGGCGTCCACTCCCTCCTAAAGAAACCACCCACATTGCCCACATTAATACACGCTGCTCTGTGTCCATGCACAACTTTCTTTCAGCACTTTTTTTCCCCTTTCTCTTCCTTTTATACCCTGCATTTATCACATCTATTAATAATGTGGCCTTTTTGTGGAGAATAAAAGCTTCTGTGGCTCACAAGCGCCCTCAAGAGGCTCAGAAAAAAGGCCTTTTAGCTCAAAACTGGGAAAGTGTGATGTGAGAAAGGAGGAAATGAAAGTGTTTTATACTGACTGAATAAATATTTTGTGCTCTGCGTGCTGAATCACACGACTGGATTCCCACGTCACTCTTGAAAAGGGAGTCTAGGGAGGATTTGTCAATACTTGTCTGCTTCGGTAGAAACTTTAGGGGGAAAAAAAAGCAAACGAAAAGGAAAAAAGTGGCTTTTCGCACAGTATGAAAGCTCACTGGGCCATGAAGGGAGACTGTAAACAATGGAAAATAACATCATGCTGACAGTGGACAAAGGGCTATCATCAAGATCAGCTTAGTAACAGTGTATTTCCATGACATGTTACCTAGCAGGTCAAGAGAAAGATTCACAAGAGTGATTATGTAAGGAGATGCTAGAAACAGCTCTCATAAACAGGCAGTCAGCCTGGGCGTGAATGGTCTTCAGAATGTTCTCCATAATTCAGTAATGGAGCTGTGTGTAGAGAAATATACCAACTCAGATTTCTTTACAGTGGTGGTGATGGGAACCAGGGGTCACAATGACTACAATACAAATATAGCCATTTTATTTACTATCCAAAACACCTCCTGAGTTTGTTGATGATGGTAAAACAGTGGTAAATCTGAAAAAAAAAAGTTTTCTGTGGGACTTTGGGCCATATAACACACTACATGTACCACAACCATTAATGTAGTTTTTTAAATTACATTTAAGGCCAAAACCTTCTTAAAAGTACTGTAAAACAATAGAGTAAAAGAACATTTTTTCATTCTCCTGTAAACTTGCCATTTTGGAGAGACTTGTTTTTCTTTGGACAGTGATAATAATAGTATAATACATTCAGGACATGTTATTATTACAAGTACCTACATACAGTACTGTGCAAAAGTCAGAGATAAAATAATTCCAAACACATTTAGTGATGTTGAGGTCTTTTTGTGCCTCATAACATGCTACATGTACCACTTGACCATGAATACAGTTTTTAAAATTACACTTAAGGCCAAAATCTTCTCAAAACTACCGTAGAGCAATGTTTTAAGCATCAGGCATATTCATAACCATTTATTTAAATAGCATTTTCTGATGCAGCTTTTAGATGCATCAGTACAAAAGTTTGGACATCTGGTTCCCATCAACAGGTTTTTCTAGAACAGAGCATTTCATATCAAACCAGCTACAATTTCTAGTTACTTTTTACTGATATTATTATGCCGAAGTGTTATAAAGTCAATGGAATTCCCTTATAAGTCATGGCCTAAGTAGAATGTTACACAACAAAGATCAATGGGCCTCAGGTGGGTGAGGGAAAAAGTGAACACAAGTGTCAACTTTGGTGGCAGAACTTCCCCAGAAATCACACCTCGTATTTTCCTTTTCTAAAAAAAAAATGGCAGACAAAACTGTTTATGAGCCATAGCAGCAAAATATTTGGAGCAGTCCTTTATAAATGATTAATAAAGTCTTAACAGACTATCAGTAACACATCAACAACATATCAGTTGAGTAGCAGTAGTGAAACATCTGAATACATTGAGGTAAACATTATGAAGATGTACTTTTGATATATGACTTACATTAAGTAGATGTATTGTTCATGTTACATGGAGTAGATTTTATACGGTACCTCCATTAAGCAAAACCCAATCTTACCCAACCTCACCCAAAACCTAACCCTCACCCTGACCTTAATCCTAACCCTAACCTTAACCTCAACCAAAGCTTAATCCTTCACCCTGGCCCCAATCCTAACTCTAACTTTAACCAAAACCTAATCCGGTGAAGCTCCAGAATGGTCTCAGTAGGTCTATAACCGCTGGTTGAGGATGTTGAGATGGTCAGTACTAAACCTGTTACATGTCCAGTTCCTCTCAGGTTAAACATCTACAGATATGAAGTTGGACACCAAATAAAATGAAAACCAACTAATCTGAGTGATTATAAACAAATTTTATTTCCACTGTTAATTAAAAGTCTCTTGATGATCTACTGAATGTATTCACTGCTGCTACATCATTGATTGTTGATGTGTTACTGAGAGTCTGTTGAGTGTTTATTTCATCTAATATCTATTACATCTAATACAGTTGATAAAACTTCATTACTCTGCTTGTTATGTTCAGACTTCACAAAAATATTTCGGTAACTTTCTATGAATGTCACCTTTGTAAGCATCTATAAACACATTTATAACATGTTATAATGTATTCATAAGGCATTATAAACATGGTTATAAATATTTATAAAAAAATACACTGAATTACACTGAATTACATGTGTTTGTTTAAGTGTTTCAGTAAATCCTTCAGCAAATACTTCAACTTGAAGTCTCACTCTTAACTCTGGAGGAGGCTTTAGTACAGTATGCTTCACTTTACTTAGAGCGGACAAATATGACTTATGAGCTCTTATAATTTGTTATGATCAGTAATGTATTATGTTAACAATTCATAATGCATAATAAACATGGCTATAATGCATAGTGCATTTTTATAAATATTTATAGCTATGTTTTTAATGTCTTATGAATGCATTATAACATGTTATGAATGTGTTTATAGATGCTTACAAAGGTGACATTCATAGAAAGTGTTACCAAAATTTCTAGTACAAAGTTTGCATCGCTAGCTGATTAACTCACTTTAGCTAACCTAGCTGAGGGACAGTGCGTTCCAGTCAAAAAAATCCGCTCCTCACTACAATCCAATGTGCCGCGAGTGGCTGCCAGTGTAACTTAGATGTGATTTCTGAGTTGAAGTTGCTGAGGCAGGTTTAAAGAGTATTGAAACAGGAACTGCGTTTTTTCCATATTACATTTCATTACATCTTCCCCTAGCTTTCACCAGACGAGAGAAATAAAGAAAACATTCTACAACGACATTGAAGAGAATGATTAAATATATTTTATTTCCAGAATACATGAACATACAGGATATAAATCATCTGACAGTATACAAAACATTCAATATTTATCATTTAATCCTCAGTAGAAACAATTCAGAAGTCCTTGAGTGAAGATTAGCATTAAAAATCCCAGAGTACATGGCTAGTTAGGATCTAAGTAAGCAGAACTGTTTACGTCGGCTGTGTTCCAATCTCCAGAGCTTCCGAGTGCACCAGAAGTGCACAAGCATGGAGACTGAAGTGCAGCTACTGTGTGTGTAAAGGTGCATCCTCTGAGGTCGTAATATCAAATAGAACTATACTGTGTGCTGATTGGCTGATGAAACATACACGTTAAATCATGTTTTTAGAAAATCAGTATTTTGACTGTACACAGACACAAAAGACAGCAAGGCAAATTTCATGGCGGTTATAGATAGTGTGGTTCTGTTGTATTATGGAATTCCCCAGTTTGCAGAAGTGGAACTGTTTGTCCATTAATAAACCAGGACTGGACTGTTTCCAAAAGAAAAGCACCACTACTAGCCCACCTCTCCATAGAAACAATCAACAGACAACAAAGCAGATGAATTCACAGATAGGGCTGCACAATGTGTTGTTTATTACACTGTTGTCCTTTTTTTTACTACAGTTATCGCAGAGGGATGTGATATGCAAATGAGCCCTCAAACCAATCACAGTGTTTTTTACTGGGTGCTGTGAGCATCCTGACCAATCACAGGTCCTGATGACTGAGTCTATGTGTTTTGATGGATAAGAGTGTTCATGCACACTACTGTTCAAAAGCTTGGAATCATGGTGTTTTACTAATTTGTGGTATTTTCTATAAAATAATAAAAGTCCGTAAGCAAGACTCTTAAACCACCTATCCCTGTAACATGATGGGATTGTAGGTTGTTTTAGTTATTAGCATCTGCTAAATGTATAAATGTACACTGTAAAAAAAAAAACTGTAAATTAAATTAATTAACAGTAAATGTCTGTTTTCTCAATGATGGTAAAAATCTGTAAAATTACAGTTATCCAATTTCTTCTAATACTACCTTTTATTGTAATTAACAGTTTCACTGCTTCAACTAGTTATTCTGATGTACAGTATTTTACCATAATAATAACAGTAGCAACTATTCAAATAAACACAGATCTGTAAATTAACGATTGTTAAAATACAGTATGTGGTTTATTAACATGCATTTACCCTTTTTTGTTTATAAACAGGCTTTGATCATTAAATTTTACAGTACTTTGACAGTGAAAATATTTTTTTTAATTATGTAGATTTAGGTCTTATATTGTTACGTTTCATTAAATATTTCAGGTTTAGTGTAAATTCTATACGCTATCCATTTCACTTTTCATAAATGAGGTATTTTCAATATTAATTTTATTTGTTGAAAATGTTGATTCTATACTTTTGAACAGTAGTGTAGTCCAACAATGTATTTAACATGTAATCTCAATCTAATCAAAATGCTGGTTATTCGTCCGTATCGTACACCCCTATAGAGAATGAAAGTGTTGAAATACAAGGCAGTATAAACATTTTTTAAAAAATATATGTAATGACAATATACACCGTATACAAACATCAACATCAATAACAACAATAACAACACCTTAAACCTTCTCAACACCCATAAAGCCAGTGGTAAGTCTTCAAGACTGACAAGATAAAAGAAAAACAAAACAAAATAAAGATAAAAGTGCTAAAACAGTGTAAAAGCGTGAGAAAACCCTCATTATTCTGTCACTGTCAAACGATGGCGCATGTTATTTCTCCTAAAATCTCCATAAATGTCAGTCTCACATGCTTGAAGGCAGACTGGATGGAATTATTCTATTTAGAAAGATTATTTTACTCAGAAAGATTTATTTATTTATTTTACCGTTAGGTTAATATGAGTCTGCAGTGTTGGAGGACAAAGCTTAGTTACGATTTATGGGTTTAATCTAAGAGCTGCATTGAAAAAAAGAAAGAAAAAAAATCTTTTTCTTCTTTTTGCATCGGTGAATGCAATAACAAATTGCTTTATTATAAGCTGGCATGTAACAAAATGGCTAAGTTTATTTTCTTATTTAGGAGAGCCGGTGCCCCAGTAACTTTTCAATTCAGTGAGGACAAAGAATCAGCACTTTCAAGAAATCTTTCATCTTTTCTATTGAGTAAAATCAATAGGCTAGTCAGGCCCAAAGCAGACAGCAAGACTGGTAAACTAAAGAAACGGTTTAAAGATAATGCTTCGCCCTAAAAATAATGGTCACAATTTTGTCCAAGAAGATGGACTCAGAAAGAGAGAAAGCAAATCCAATTAAAGAAACTGCTACTTTCTTTTTTTGAAATGATTTCGTAGTTATCTGAAATGGCAACAGTGCAAGAACACTTTCAGTAACAGATTTAACAGGATTGTTATACTGCAGTCTACATCGGTTAGCCTTAAAACAAATGCCTTTAAAGTCACGTGCACACGCACCCCCGGTGCACTTCCCTGGCAAGCTCAAGCATCTAGACGCGTACTCACAGAGCACCTCTTGATTCTCCTCTTGAAACTGAAAGTGTGGGTAAACACATTGCACCTGTATGTTTCACATCGTCCTTTCACCTGCACATGCACGGGGCTCAGCCTGGCACACCGAGAGATTTCAGCCCCAACACATGTACAGATACTACCTTAAGAGCTTTCTCTCAGAACTCTTAGAAAAAAGTGACCCCTGTGGAAAAAGTGCCCGGTGTCCCCCTGAGCTCATGTGTAAGCCTTCCCTTGCAGGCCTATAGCACTTCAGAATTTCAGTGTGTAGTTGCAATAAAGGGGCCCAAGCACCTGAATGAAGTGCTACTGATTCCCTCTCCAAAGTGGGTGGGGGGAGAGAGAGAGAGAGAGAGAGAGAGAGAGAGAGAGAGAGAGAGAGAGAGAGATTTTTTAATAGTTTGGAATGAATTAATATTTTGTTATTACAGTACAAAAGTATACAAACTGATGCTAATAAGGTGTATATTGTGGAAACCAAATCTCAGGGCAGATAACATGACCAAAATATGTAAATAGAGAATTACAGTTCATGTATAGAAGCATACAAAACTGAAAATGCAACAAAATTGGCAAAAAAAAATTGATTTTTTTGGAGGTGTAGAAAAATGTAAAAGCAAGTCCTCCGAAAAGAATTGAAGGCGTAATAAAAAGAAAAAAAAATATATATATATATATATATATTTGTGTTTTCAGAAAAATATACATCTTCTGCTTAATATTGTTAATCTTGCAAGTGATTCCAAACTTGAACTTCTGTGTGTGCACATATATATATATATATATATATATACACTCCCTCTCTCGTTCATCCTCATTCTTCCCTCTCTCTTCATCACATCCTCTCCATTCTCACTCAAGGTAGCTCTGCCCAATCAATATCAATCCGGCCTCATACATCTTACTACTCTTTACAGTGACTGAGAATTTGTATGAGGCTATTCGACAAAGCTTTAGAATTGCCATCACACAAACTGCTGTAGACGTGACCCTTTCTGCTTCTTTCTGTTTGTATGATGGTCAGATGCTCAGAAGAGTTGAAGTAAGCTTCATCGCTCGACCATCTCGCTTAGGACTACAAATATTGACAAAATTAAAAGTAAATGTTAGTAGAAAACACACCTGATGAATTTGAACAAATAAAGTAATTAAAAATAGACCAGTCCAAATAGAGAATTACAGTTGGGCGAGTTTAAGACAAACAGTAAAACACTCTGTCTCTATTAAAAACAAATGGTAACAGTGTGGAAAACTTCTTTTGCTTTTTTTGTCCCTGATCTGGGAGACAGCGTACAGTACACAGCAAGAGGACACTGCATTTGAACAAAAGAGTACATTCATTTAAAAACCAATCCATCTGAAAGCATGCGTAAAAGCTCATGACAGCTAGAAAAAAGGCCTCCTCCACTGCTAATGACAGGCTGAAAGAAATGAAGGGATTTGCGGGCGTTAGTGGGCGTGTGGGCTGGAGGTGGGAGTGTGTTTTTATGGAGCCCTGTTTGTGTGGAGGTGTCCCTGATAAAGATCCAGAAGAAGTCATGAACTTTGGTCTTAGACGGCTCCTTTTTGCGTCTGCTCCGTTGGTACAGTGTACACCCTACACACACAGAGAGAGAGAGAGAGAGAGAGAGAGAGAGAGAGAGAGAGAGAGAGAGAGAAACCCCTTAACATTCATATACACTTCAATTTCAATTCTCTCTTCCTATAACTTAATAAAAACTCAGCCACTTTGCATTGTTTTTAATGTAGTTAGTGTCTAAAGGCCTTTACAGTGTGAGCATCATATGTTAGTCCAATTTCAGACACATGTATACAGTCATATGGGTTTAAACACTCATTCATTTTCTACTTTTTTGCAAGCTTTCTTGGGCAACATGCACTCACTCCACCAATCACCGTTGTCTCTGGCATTTGCATGGCAACAACCAGGACTGGCTGTGAGCTAGCAGCTAGAACTTCTTGATGAATGTCAGAATGATTAGTTTCTCCACTAATGCATCATTTTTTTTTCAAGGCTGCAGCTCCACAATCAGCTCAAACTGGGTTGTGTTGAATGTGAAAGTGCACATGACGCTTCAGCTGCTGGATGAGGCAGTGAAACTATCTGTGCTGCTTTCACATTTCCAAAATGCAAAGTTGCCTGTCCCTTGTCACCATTTGCCTGTTTTATGACATCTATGAACATATTCTACCTGTTTAAGGTCCAGCACAGCAAAATGTCAACCTTTAGGATGTGCACATACAAGTTTAATAAGACCAAAAAACCTTGACTCAAAACATGCTTACAATAGAGGCCAATAGGCTTCTTTGGCAGCTTTAGCAGCTTCTTGAATCAATGCATTGTCTGTTGTTTTCTAAGTAAGTACAAGGAAATGAAAAAACTATTGACCATGTTGATCAACTGTGCAGTACAGATTTGGCAGATAATGTGATGAAAAATGCTGGTGAATTTCTTTAAATATGATCTATTAAATCTTAAGGGCCTGTATTTGGGCCCTCATTTGCTCTCATAAGCTTACACAGTAGTTTCATAGAAAATAAACCTGAAAGTTCATTTAGTTGATGAAGTCCTACTTTAGACATCAGGCTTTATTTGTTTTTCCATTGAGTGTCTTACTAATCTGGCCTGGGTGTGCTTAGAAACACTAGACACAAAGTTCCGTTAAATTATGGTTGATTTTTGCTAACATTATTGGGTACCTAAAAAAGAAAAATGGAAGAAGCAACTTCCACTGATCGTATGTGGATGTGGTTCCAGGCAGTGGGAGATTTCATGCTAACTTTAGCTTTGAATAGAGGAACATTTAATCATTACTGTGAAAACACAGAAATGAATAGTTCTCATTGTGCAAAGACAGCGACATATTTAGGTTGTTCAAACAGTCCTGACACACTTGGCTTCGTTCTCTTCACATAAAGACTCTCATATTTTCTCCTTTGAATTAAAGTGACCTATCCATGCCCCACCCTGAAATGTGTTCTCTCGTAGCGACTGGTGCAGGACAGAACATGATATGCAGAATGTTGGCAAAAATCCAATTCAACCTGTTTGTTGTTTGTTTACGCAGTTTTTCTCCTCAATTTAGTTGTAGCCAATTCCACCTGCTAACTAGATCTCCCTGTACAGTGCTATCAATTTGGGAGGGTAAAGGGTAGCATGTGCTTCTTCCGAGGCATCTTTTTGAGCTATACAGCTCAACATCCTTTGAGGAGAGCACAAACTGTCGAGTTCTGTTACGTCAGCTAACAGAGCGTTGTGTAGGCTGGTATCTATCTGAGTGCTGGGAAGAGGGTGAGCCCTTTCATGCTTTCTTGGAAGGATGTGTGTGGCATCACCAGGGACTGAATTTGCGATCTCTTGATGATAAGATCTACGCTTTTACACTACTTGTGAGTCTCGCTTAGTTTTCCCCAAGTACCTACATTTGTGGGTGTACGGTGCTTTACTATGTGATATGTTTCCTGTGTGACATCAATAAAGTCAAGGTACTTGCTGTCAACAAGATACAAGGCTTAGCTGGCTAGCATCAATAAAATACCTAATTCTAGTGAACTTTCTGTCTTGCTCATTGATCAAATCTTGTATCCTCAAATACCTCAACTATAGTGGTGTAAGAATAGAGATAATATCACTGATTCTGAGGTCAAAATTAGACTTGATTTATGTGATATAGATATATTATAGATAATTCTATACTACACAGGCTGGGTTGGCTCAGATATGTAGTTCTCAAATAGATCTTTGTAAATATGTGCCACAACAGCATTCTAACTCTAAAATAAACCCCCAAAACCATGACCCCCAGAATTTATATATACCAGCATAAGCCACGCCCCCTCTCTTACCACGGGTTCCATGAAAATGTTACAGTAGAATATATATATATATATATATATATATGTATATATATATATATATATATATATATACACGCACACACACACACACACACACATATATATATATAAATATGTCGCTGTTGTGGGAAGAACACCTCATATCTCCAAAATGATTAGTTTACATACATACATACATACATATATACATCATCTAAACCGCTTATCCTTCTGGGTCACGGTGGGGTGCTGGAGCCTATCCCAGCTGTCATTGGGCAGAAGGCAGGATACACCCTGGACAGGTCGCCAGTCCATCGCAGGGCAGACAGACAGACATACACAGTCACACACTCACTCACACCTAGGGGCAATTTAGTGTGTCCAATCAGCCTGACTGCATGTTTTTGGACTGTGGGAGGAAACCGGAGTACCCGGAGGAAACCCACGCAGACACGGGGAGAACACGCAAACTCCACACAGAAATGACCCTGGTCGCCCGGCTGGGAATCAAAC